TGCAGTGACATTGCTGGTCCTGGATTTATATTTTCTTCATTTATTTGTGAATTGAATTTTTAAAGTGTTATTCATCTCTTAGTTATAATCATAGACTGTGGGTGATTTTATTTGTTCTTTTTGGTCTCTGGGTTTGGGGAATATTTGTGTGAAATTGTGTTTTGAATCTGGATGCTTTTATCTTGAATCAGATGAATATGATATTCATGGGAATCAGAATATCTACTGTAAGTTTTAATACATTTTGGTCAGTTGGTCTATCTCTGCATTGAAACCTAATTATCGTATTATGTTAGCTTTGTAATTCTATGTAGCCTAACCTCTCTGTTCTTCTGGAGTATTTCAACAATTGTTGGTCTGTTGCTCTTCCAAATAATTGTAGAATCTTAAAAATTACTTTGGAGGCCTGATTATTATTGTACTATGGGAAGACTGAACATCTCTATGATACATCTTTCTGTTCATGAATATAAAATATTTCTCCATTTATTTTAGTACTGTTTGCATTAAAATTTATTATTTTTCCCAATTTTTTTGCTTTAGCTTTTAATTAGTTTATTCTTAGATACCTCAAAATATGAGTTACTGTTTCTTTAAACTTTAAAAAGTAATACAAACTTTTAATTTAGAACTATTTTATATTCACAGAACATTTCACATTTTATGTTTTCTCTGATTAATATTGTACATTTGTATGTTATATTTATTATAAATAATGAATTGATACACCTTATTAACTAAAGTCCACAAGGAATAATATTAAGATATCACTATTATCTGTATATTTTATTAAGATCCCCTTGTGTTTTCCTACAGTCCTCTTTCTGTCCTAGGACCCTTCCCAGGATACTAGACTTAAAAGTTTGGTTTGGCTGCAAAAATTTTCCAGACTTTCCTTAGTTTTATTGTTTTTGACAGTTTTGACAACTATTGTACTGGTCAGGTATTTTGTAAAATGCCCCTGATTTGGTATTTGTCTGGTTTTTTTTCCCAGTATTAGACAATTATGTGTTTTATATTTTTTCCATAATGAGAAAATTATTATATGCAAGTAAGACCACAGAAGTACAGTTTTCATCAACTATATCAATAATATCTACTACCAACATAACTTCTCAGGTTGATGTTGACTTGGATCTGTGGTAGGCTTTCCCCATGGGAGGGCTACTCATCCCCTGGCTCTATGTGGTTTGCTTTCAAGGAGGTCACTGCTTCAGCCCATTCTTGAGAAATAGAGAACTGTGTTGTTTCTCACTGAGGACAGAAGGTCTACAGACAGCACTCAAAAATCTACTTAAGGGCAGATTAGTCACTTTCCACGGTTTATTTATCGGATCATTTGTTTGTGTCATATGGTCTTTGTGGATATTTATTTCATGCTTGGGTTATAATGCAACATTATATAATTTTGTTTTCAAATTGTTTCTGTTTTCATTAGTGAAATCTTTTCAGCTTAATTTTGTGTCACTTAGATAAACTCATCATTTCTTTTCTCTTTGTTCTTCTTTATTTTCTCTGACTGTCAAATATTCCAAGATCACGTTTTATATTTTGTGTCCTACCGATAGTTGATAGGCTTTTTATCTTGTTTGCATAAAAACATTGCTAAACCCAGTATATATTCCAGTTAGAATGTTTTCTTTTTACTTTTTTGGCTTCAATTTTGGGGTAATGCAGGATGACATTAGTAGTAATTTAAGAAAGCTGAACAGTCTGAACAGAAAGTATCTTAGATACTTTCTAAGCATTATATAAGCAGACCAGGAAGTCAGCTGCTACTCCTCCCAGACAAAATATACAAGCTAGAAATTTGCAGTTAAACATCTATATTTGGATTATATATTCCCTCTATAAAGGTAACATAGAAGTCTTCAAAAGTGATACCAATCATAACTGAGACATCCCTCTTGAAATGCCTCAATACTCCTTTGTATTTGTTCCTTTGCCACTGAATTCTTTACCAGGTAACTGTTCACAACTGTCACCTCTGATCTTGAGAAATGGAAATTCAGCCTTTGTTTTACTCACCCTTGATGCTAAAGGCTTCTCAAAACTGTTTTTACTGTTATTCAGCTTACTTCTGCCTGTTCCCTGAGAGAGTGACTGGTGAAGTATGTTTTTCAATTTAAAGTTTTTAATTTTGTTGCCAATGCAAATGAAGTTGATTTTTATATATTGATTTTATATACAGCCACCTTTATGTTTAATATTTAATGATTTACTATGTATCATTTTGGGACTTTTTTCATTGATAAACATTGTATATATTTGTATGTACAATATTTTTTGAAATTCATATATATTGTGAAATTGAGTTAACATGTACTGTCTCGCATACCACATTTTTGTGATATCACTATTTTCTTCATATACTTATTAGCAACTCTTAGAACATAGTGATTCTTTAAGGTATGAATGAGGTGGATTGGAGTCATCTGTTCGGGTCATACAGGCTCTTACCAAATTGTCACATTTGAGATGGCCACAGGGCTATATTAAATATTTATGCCTTTTTTTTTGTACTGGGGATTGAACTCAGGACCTTGCACTTGAGAGGCAGGCAGCAGCACAACTGAGCTAAATCCCCGGCGTAATATTAAATATTTATTATAGCCTTTGTCTCTATTAGCTTCTGTGTAACTTGTAAAAGCTATTTAATTTCTGTTCTTTCCTCCCTCCCTCATTAGTTTATTTGGCCTCATTGATAGGACAGAACTCAATTTTTGTTACAATGAATTGTAATTTTTCAGTCAGTCTCCCCTATTTATGTTCTTAGTGACAACTTTTTTGGGGCCTTACTTAGAATTTACTCGTATGTTCTGCCTTCCCTTGATTCTTGACGTTATGTTTGTGGCTGGCAGGCTAGACTGTTTTGGAGTTGGTGTTGTGTTCTGTGTAGGATGTCTTTTGTAACTACATGTACTGTAGTAACTCTTCGAACTGAGCTCCTGGTAGCTTTTCCTTTTCTCTGTGAAAGTTTCCTATCTTCTGCAGTTCCTAAAGATGTTGACTGTGTCTATTCCTGCACAAGTCTCTTTCACCAGCTGAGACTATACTTCCTAGGAGTCAGTTGTTCTTAAATATACCTGTGGTTACTCTTGTTTTTACCAAGTAAGTTGTGAAAAACAGCATTATAAGTGAGGAATATATCAATGTAGAAATAAGTTGTTTTCATGAAAACTGTTGAATATTTAGGAACCATTTGGTATGACCAGATCTGTAAAGAAATTTCTGTCAAGTGGCTTGGCAAGACAACTGTGAAAGAGTGAAGAAAAACTATAACCTGGCCTCTGCACTCTGAATAAGAAGGGCTTGTACTTAAAAAAAAAAAAAAAAGCCCACCTGCCTCGCAAGTGCAGGGTTCCCAATTCAATTCCCAGTACACCCTCTACCCCCCTACCCGCCCCCCCCTCGTATCCACAAATCAAAAGGTTTGCAAATTAATGTACATTTTAAGTTTAGGTAAGCTATTATGTTTGTGTATCTGATCTTTTGTTTCTTGATTATAAATTTTTAGTTGGTCAGCTGTTAAGACTGATTTGATAGGGTAAAGTTCATAGTACTTTTGTTTCATGGGATGTTTTTTAATATTAAAAATAACTGATTTATTATTATATTTGAATTTTCTGGAGCAAGTGTGCATTATTTATCCTTTTAGTTTATTACATTTATCGCCATTACTTTTAATTTGCAGCTTTTTGACTTTGTTACGCTCCTCTGCAGCCCATCTCTTGTTGCTGTTAAAAGTCACTGAGATCTATAAAAGTTTGTGTCTGTTTTGTTAAGATGAGGAACTTCTCACACAGCTTTGGAAGTTCTAAGTACTTTGTACTTGATGATGTTAATTTTTTCAGTCTACTTTAGAAGTATTAATATTTCCTTTGGTGATAATTGTGGAAATGTTTTAAATTTTTTAATTTGAAAGGCTTAATTTGAAAATATTGATGGATTAAGAATGTGAAAACTCTAAAATGTGGAAGTAACAATTATATGAAGCAGCTACCACCTCTGTGAATGAACATTTCAGAGGCCTAGAGCAGGGATCTCCTAAAGCTGTGGGACTCAAAGGAATGTTTAAGTAGCTATCTGGCACTGATGTCTCTGATATGTACGATGACCTGATTTAGTGAGTCAGAAAACTGCAAAGCAGAATTAGTGCTGTTGTGGAATGAGTGGTCTGCCAGAGTTGCTAGAATTTTACTGACAAGAACAGGAAGCAGTCAAGAAGGAACAGATTCACTTTTCCTTCAGCTGCTCCTTCCTCCGACCCCCTCTAGTGACAGAGCATAACAGGAAATCATTAGAATCAACAGTGAAATAAAGGTTTTGTGAATACTAATCCCAGCATCTCAAAGAAGAGTTAGATGTTGGAGCTGAAAGACAAGAGTTAATTACTGTCTCTTAAATAACTGCTAACTATTAAGTTTAAGCTTGCTTTTTTTGGCTCAGTACCGGTGATTGAACCCAGGCCTGTCACACTGTGCTCCCAGAGTGGTAGATAATCCCTCTAGGAGCTCAGTGTAAAGGCCCAGCTTTACTTTTTTATTTCTATGTACATTGAAGAAAGATTTGTGTGTGTGATTAAATTTAATCTTGTGACTAACATTTCTTTCATATATATTTTTTGATATAACACCTGGATCCTTTGCTTGTCATCATGTATTGAAATTTAGGGTCATTTTAAGTTGCTGTTCAGCTTTTTAAATGTTTATCCTTTACTTGTATTTGTGTCTTACTAATAAATTGAATGTGGGGTTCAGGACCACTGTTCTTGTGGTTTGAGTTTTACTACCAGCTAGCCTATTTCCTTATAAAATAATCAATTTTTGACATGTACCTTGACTTTTCTGAGAGTTGGGGGCTGTATTTTTTAATGCTATAAGTTGATCCCTCAAAATCGTTCCTTTGTTCATATCAAAGGGATTAAATTTTTATATTGTTCTTCATGCTAAAACACTTAAAAATAAACCTTAGGAAATTAATTTCATTTTAATTATTAGGTGCTTCTAAAGAAGGAGGTGCTGGAGCAGTTGATGAAGATGATTTTATAAAAGCTTTTACAGATGTCCCTTCAATTCAGGTAAAGCTACCTGTAAAATAGCATTTCTGTGAATATTGCCAAGTGATATTATATTGCTAATTGTTATTCATATCATTTGTTTTGTCCCTTTTAAAAACTTATTTCCATAAATGACTACATAAAAGATATACTTGACTTGTTACCAGGCTGTTATCTGTTAGTAATTAGATTTTCAAGTGGTTTTTTTCAGTAAGGTTAAAATATAATAGATTCTGTATTACTAAATCACATTACATTTCAATAAAGTTTTAGTACAAATTCTTGAATTAGTGAGTTTTGAGCACAGAGAATGTTGGAGATTAGTTGACAGTAGAAATGTGAAAATCATTCACATAGAAGTAATTAAAGTAGAGTGGACATATCCAGAAAGTAGTAGTATTTCCATATCTTAAAAATCCAAATAAAAATTGTAGCATTATATCATTCCTAAACTTGAGTTTTTACTCAATTATTATTTAAAATTTCCACAGTGTAAATATTATTATTCTTTTTCATTCATTTGGATTGACCACAATTCATTTATCCTTTCTGTTAATGGATATTTAGTTGGTTTCTAACTTTTTACTATTCCATATCATGCTACAGTGAGTATTTTTGCACATATGTTCTGGATTACTTGTAAGAATTTCTTTAGAGTAGAAGCACAGGAGTAGAATTGGCATGAATATAATCTTTTAGCTTTACCAGATATTACTCTGTAGGATTATTGTACCAGTTAAAATTCCTACAAGAAAGGTATGATAATTCTCATTTCTTCACAAGTTTTTGCCATCACTTGATGTTAATCAGAATATTTTTTCAGTATGATGGGTGTGATTGCAGAATGTTCTTTTAAAAATATTTCACACACTTTATTTGCAAAGTACTTTCCACTGAATTATTTAGCTCTGAAAGGGAAAATTGTCTTTAAGCTATTTATGATCTTTAAAAGTTGTCAGAAAGCTTTTAAAATGTTGCTGATTTGAGTGTATTTTATACCTTTACTAAAATACATGTTTTAATATTTTAAGAAACTTACTTTTTAGATAACAGAGAAAACATGGACTCTCCCCACGCCTTTGTATTTAAGGGAAAGATCGGTGTTGTAGGAACAATTAGTAAACTTGGTTGGGCTTGAACATTTTCTTTGTTCAGTGTATGTTTATCGGAATGGTATCATCATAGTGTCCCTGAAGCCAACTGCTATTCATCCTTAACCTGTTTCACAATTACCTATCGAATCCTTGCAGCTGAACCTTCGACACCCGCCTGTGCCCTATCCCACCCCACCCGGGCTGCCTGTCCATCATGTGTTCTGTGCTTTGGATTTTGTCATTTGGGAACATCTGTTGCATCAGCATCATAAACTCCCTAAGTCTTTTTTTTTTTTTTAAGGGTTTTTAATGTCTTTGTCTTAATTAAAAACTGGTATTTGTTTTTGTAGCTCTTTAAAGGGGAGGCTATTCACTACTCTAGGCTCATGTGCCCTTAGGAATTAATAGTAGATTAAATGTGCTTGCTCTCCTCTTTATCACTTGTGACCGTTATTCTTACACTCTCTTAGGTGGGGTTCGTGCTCCCTGGCTAGCCTCTTCACTGCCATATACCAATCTGGACAATATTCCACAGATACCTGGATTTGATTCCCAGCTCTGCCACACTAGCTAACTTTGGCTGAATTAATCCTATGTACCTCAAAAATCTTCATCCTAAATTAGGAATTATTGGGATAATAATTGGGATTATTATGAGGGTTAAATATGACAGTTCAGAAGTGTGTGGTAAAGTACATGTTAGCTGTTACTGTCAGCATCCTAAATTTTGACACATTCTTAATGACTTTGTTTCTATTTGGATGACCCATCAGTTTCATGACCTCTTTTCTACCTTTACCTTATTCACTTAATAGTGGTGTCACCTATATATAATTGCTTTGTGTCCATTTGTATTATTTGAAACATTCTTTTACTGTCATGATCTCCACGCACTTCCCACATTTTCTGACTACTTTCACTATGGACATTAGGATCGTCAGTCCACTGTCTTTTACTCTTGATTTTTCACTCTTATTTCTGCTTCCCTTCTCATCTAAGCTTTGATCCTAGGGTTTCCTGTGGTAAAGTTGCATTAATCCATTAAAACTCCTTGATTTTTAAGTACCCATTTGGCAAAGCTATGGCTCTGGATGATTCTCAACATTGTGTGTGTGTGAGTTGTGTCCATTGCGCCCCCACCCCTTATAGCTCAGAAATGCATCCTTCTAGAGAAAGTCACATGTTAGGGCACATGAATTTTACTGGACTTCACATAAATAAAATGTGCCTTCAAGAGTGTGACATCCTTGATATGTTAAATTACCTGTATGTTTTCCACTGGTATCCGATGGGTTTCTTTGCAGCTATTAACTCAGCTCTCTCCTCTCAGTACATGACTTTGTCTTTAACTTTACTACATAAACTGTCACTGTGGATGGGCACATCATCTCTCTGCCTACATCCTTCCCCACTGTATGCTCCTGTCCTTTTGCTGTAGGAGCTTGGTGCTTCTCCAAAACGTGTTATTTCCTACTTTCTTAATACATTTGCACAAGTGATCATCTCATGGGTTCAGGAACCTCTTTTCTAGAACCTTCTCACTGTTTATTAAACATGGCTCAGTTTCTCAATTAAAAATAAATCTGAGTTGGGGTGCCCTTGCTTCAACACCCAGCACCACAAGAAATGAAATAATAATTTAAAAAACCCTAAGTGTGGTGGTTATAGCCCCAGCACTTGTGAAGGCTGAGGCAGGAGGATCACAAAATTTAAAAAGTTTTAAAATTTCTGGGTATATATCTCAGGGGTAGAGCATTCACAGGTTTAATCCCCGGTTCTTCCCCCTGCCAAGTTATACTGAACTCCTTATTTTCCAGTTACTGCTCTTTATTTTGATTTTCATGATCAGCCTTTCTAAAAGAGTTGTCTGCACTTGGTTTCTCCTTAACTGCATGCCGTTTACTTCAGCCCACTCTTCCAGCTTCTTCCTCCATTGAAACAGGTCTTGAGAAGACCATTCATCATTCTCACAGTTTCTAAAGCAATGGGTTTTACTGTGTTTTCTTGAGCTTTTAATAATATCTAGTGCTGTTGACTATGTCCACTGTGTTGTAATGAATATGATATGGTGTTCATTTTTTTCTCTCCTTCTTCCTCGTCCACTTCTGGTTCATATATTATCTACATCCTTCTCTGCTTGGCCAGTGAGTATTAGAATTTCTTAAGGATTACCTCTAGGCCTTGCCTTCTCTCCATTTTCTTCCTAAGTCACATTTAAATCTATGGCTTCACGTCCCACTTTATATAGATAACATCCAGATTATCTCCCAGTCATACCTCTCCTGAACATCGGAAAATTTATCTACTATGATTATTTGCTTGACATCTGGTTTTTGGTACTTTACCATTTGAAACTCAACCTGTCTGAAATTGGAATCATAATCTCCCCTGGGGAGAAAAGCAAAAACGTATTCTAGTATTGCTTTGGGGATGAGGAATAAATCCGGAGGCTCTCTACCACTGAGCTACATCTCCAGCCCACCCCCTTTTTTTTCCATTTTTAAAAATTTTATGATAGTGTCTAAGTTGCTAAATTGCCCAGGCTGGGCTTGAATTTGCAGTCCCTCCTGCTTTGTCTCCTTAAGTACTGGGATTAGAGGCATATGCCACTACACCCTGCTCTACTATTCTTTAAGCAAAAAACCATTACTTAATCCATTAGAAAAATTAGAAACCTAGGAATTATTCTATTACAACTACTTCCTAATTTAGTAATCTTCAAACTTCTTTTGCTTTGTATACCCCCCCAAAATGTTTAAAAAGTTATATACCCCTTACTAGGATGTTTTTGAGTTGACCCTCTTATTGGTAGAAGAGAAATCTTGCCTTATATTCCAGGGCAACATGTTATAATACGATTAGGAGTAAGGGGTGTGTCCTTTTCTGGAAAATGGCAGAAAGGGTATTTTGAAGGGAAGATTGGAGGCAGGAAAGAGCTAGTTCAGAAGCTTCCGGGAGCCCTGCCTCTTCAGCCTTATCTTATGCTTTTATCCTTTGTCTTTGTCTCTTTCCCTCTCCCCCCTCAATTTAATAGCTTTTGAAAGTGAAAGGTGGTGTACGCAGGAGTGTTTGATGAAGGACTATCACCAGGACTTTGTTTAATTCCACCTTTCATTTCTTAGTCCTCTATGTCGTCACTTATGGTTACAAACAGGGCTCATAGCTGTTTTCAGACTCAACTCCTTCACTATCATCTGCTTCTGTAGAACATGTGGGTTTCATTTTAATTAAGCAGATTTAGGTCACATGCTATCTTAGTTACTTTTCTTGTTGCTGAGACAGAATACCTGATACCCAAAGTTAAAGGAGGAAAAGTTTATTTGGCTTACAGTTCATAGAAGTTTCATTCTGTGATTGGCTGGCTGCAAGGCCAGACAGAGGAAGATGGTAAAGGAGAAATAGTTCATTGCTGGCAGAAGGGAGCAAAGCAAGCAAGGGTGGTCCAAAGCTCTTTCTATCCCTTGTATCTTATCCAGGCTACTTAAGGAGGGTGGCATGCACACCCTTACTGCTAGTGCCCTTGATCCATGCATGGCACCATGAATCAATCATAGTATCACACATTTTAGATCCAGCCATCTCTGAAAAAGCCCCACCTATGACTGCATGAGGCTGTGGAGGGCATCTAGACACAAGCCGTAACACATGCCCACCTCTGAACCTCAGCTGTGGTACAGCGATGCTGTACACTACTTCTCTTAGACCCTGGGTCTTAGTAATCTTCAAACTTCTTTTGCTTTGTATACCCCCCCAAAATGTTTAAAAAGTTATATACCCCTTACTAGGATGTTTTTGAGTTGACCCTCTTATTGGTAGAAGAGAAATCTTGCCTTATATTCCAGGGCAACATGTTATAATACGATTAGGAGTAAGGGGTGTGTCCTTTTCTGGAAAATGGCAGAAAGGGTATTTTGAAGGGAAGATTGGAGGCAGGAAAGAGCTAGTTCAGAAGCTTCCGGGAGCCCTGCCTCTTCAGCCTTATCTTATGCTTTTATCCTTTGTCTTTGTCTCTTTCCCTCTCCCCCCTCAATTTAATAGCTTTTGAAAGTGAAAGGTGGTGTACGCAGGAGTGTTTGATGAAGGACTATCACCAGGACTTTGTTTAATTCCACCTTTCATTTCTTAGTCCTCTATGTCGTCACTTATGGTTACAAACAGGGCTCATAGCTGTTTTCAGACTCAACTCCTTCACTATCATCTGCTTCTGTAGAACATGTGGGTTTCATTTTAATTAAGCAGATTTAGGTCACATGCTATCTTAGTTACTTTTCTTGTTGCTGAGACAGAATACCTGATACCCAAAGTTAAAGGAGGAAAAGTTTATTTGGCTTACAGTTCATAGAAGTTTCATTCTGTGATTGGCTGGCTGCAAGGCCAGACAGAGGAAGATGGTAAAGGAGAAATAGTTCATTGCTGGCAGAAGGGAGCAAAGCAAGCAAGGGTGGTCCAAAGCTCTTTCTATCCCTTGTATCTTATCCAGGCTACTTAAGGAGGGTGGCATGCACACCCTTACTGCTAGTGCCCTTGATCCATGCATGGCACCATGAATCAATCATAGTATCACACATTTTAGATCCAGCCATCTCTGAAAAAGCCCCACCTATGACTGCATGAGGCTGTGGAGGGCATCTAGACACAAGCCGTAACACATGCCCACCTCTGAACCTCAGCTGTGGTACAGCGATGCTGTACACTACTTCTCTTAGACCCTGGGTCGTTGTCTCTTTTTCTTTTTTCCTTTGCACTCTATATTCCTGTACTGCAGACTTTTAGTTTCTGCTGGTCAAAGAGCCATTCCTTGCACATGGTATTTACTCTTCAGGGAAAGCAAATGTTTTTCCTCTTTGTATAATAATATCCTGTTCATCCTTTAGCTCTCAGCTGCAGCTTTACTGACTAGATCTACCCTCTAAGACCCAATATATGCATTCATTCTTTCTTGTAGTACTATTTTTTATATTTTTATATTCTATGTCATTTAATTAAGTTTTTAAAATCTATAAGTGCACTATAAGGTCCATAAGTCTGTGACAAAAATTTTTATGTCTGTTTTTGCTTACCGTAGTCTCCCAAATGCCTAGCACAGTATTATCTCTGTTATTTGAATATTTCTTAAATGAAAGATAAATGGTATATAGCTAGCTATTTAGCAAATAGTTGACTCCAGAGAAACCAAAGCATGTAGCTACTCTGACAAGTCTATCGTGACAGAGGACAGAAAAAGAAAACTAACTTTCAATATTTGCTCTTCTCAATATTGTATAATAAGTATTTGAATGGAGTTTTTGAGGCCTATTTTTATTCTTGCACATTTGTATCTTGTTTTTAAATTTCAAAGCTTTTTAAGAGTATATTTGAAATTTTCATGGAGGAGAAAAGCATTTTATTTTTTTGTCCATAATATATTCTTCATTTTTAAAAATGATGCCTAGAGTGAGAAATACTTTATCGTACAAAAGATTATTTTAAACATTAGGGCATAATTTTGATGTTGTTTTGAGCAAGAAATATTGTTATAATTATGAATCTTTTCTTTAAGATATATTCTAGTCGAGAACTTGAAGAAACCTTAAATAAAATCAGGGAAATTTTGTCAGATGACAAACATGACTGGGATCAGCGTGCCAATGCAGTAAGTTTTTATTTTTCTTATCTCCTTTCTTTTTTTTTAGTGTTTCTCAAAAAAATACAGAAATTCAGTAGTAATACTATGTGGTATTCATTCACTAATAAAATAGTCTGATAGGCATTATTTCTCTCACACTGAGATAATGGGCATTTTCTGTTTTAGGGTCAATTTTTCTTTATTTTGCCGTTCGCGTGGTGCCTGTCTCACCCTTTTGGTAGCCTTTCCACTTGTTAAGGAAAGTTTAAGCTTCAGAGGACCTTAGCCTCCCTATGTAATTACATAGTTGCTTTTTAGCATCCTCCTCAAATCATAGATTTACCAGTAAAACAGTTCACTTTTCATAGAATCTCATAAAATTGACATAATTTCACAAGAGTCCATCTCCATTTTTCTCACTTTTTCTTTCTCATGAATGGGATGAATATTTTCTACTCATGATTTTAAAAAACAGGCTAAGAATGTTTTATTTACCCTAAGTTACTTAAAGAAAATATTTGATAAAATGAGAACCAAGACCTGTCACGTAAAAGGTACAAGATCCGAATAATGATTGTAACTGTACTGTATACCTAAAATGTACCAGTAAACTCAATTAAATATATTTGATAAAATTTTAAGTAATATTTGTATTTACAGCACTATATATTTTAAGTTTTTCAGATTTGTCAAATTTACATTAAAAAATTGCTTATGTTAAATGAGTACCTCAGAGTTTGTTTGCAAGAAGGCAGAGAAAGGTTTTTGTTTGAAAAGCCCCTACTACACTGTAGCTTCTAGTGTGGTCAGTCATAAAAATCTCCATTTTGATGGATGAAATCAAATAGGGTATTTTTGACAGACATGCTTTTGTGACACTGTGTACATAAGATCATTTTTTCGTCTTTATCTTAGGAATCTTAAAATGTTTGACAATATTTTTAATAGAAAAATAAATGACACCAGATTTGTTAAATATATTTCATATTCTTCAGTTCTGAAACAAGTCTAGAGTGTATTCTTTTCTGTGTATATGTACTCAAACAAATGATAAAATCAGCACAATTCTTCCTCTCTGACCCATTTTATAAAAATGAGATCATATGAGATATCTTACTTAGTAACTTGCTTTTTTCACATAAAAAACATGCATATTCAGCACACCTGGTATAGATATCAGTTATGTAATCATTGTTCAGATATTTATTGAATGTAGACCAGTATGTGCATATGTTCCTTAGCTCAGTATGTGTACAGGTAATTTATTAAACCATTTTCTATTTGATGAATTTATAGTTGCTTTTATTTCTTTTCATTTTAACAATGTTGTAATAAGTGCACTTGCATACATTTGTAACAGTAGTGTTTTATAGGTTAGATTTTAAGGTATAGGTTGTTGGGTAAAGAGTAGGTACAATTTTATTTTAGTAGATGCTACCAAAATATTTTGAACAAAGGTCTTAGTCATTTATGAACTTATTTGCATTTTTTTGAGAACATGTTTTCTGTCTAGTACTGTATTCTGTCCAGTTTGTAAAATGGTTTGCCCTTCTCATAGGAGGAAATAAGGTGTTTTTCTTATAATTTGGATGTGCCTATCACTAGCATGGCTTTTACATTCACATCTTTAGTCCATCTGATTTAATTTTAAAGATATATTTTTAAAGTCTAGAAAATCTGAGTTAAATGTGGATTATATATAATAATGGATGGCCGTGTTAAACCTAGTTTCTGAATATGCTTGAGCATAGATTTGCACCTGTATCTCTTTTGACAGATTTAATTTATTGTATATGCATATTGTGTTTATTTAACTAAGATGTTTTATTTGGAAACATTTAGCAATTACATTTCTTAAAAGTATACCTTTAGCATTACATTTTAGTATATAATTTAGATGTGTGTGTGTGTGTATGGGACAAAGCTAGAGTGAACCATTTTCTTCACAAAGTGTAGTAACATTAGCATATAGACACGATGACGCTTGAAAGTTGGTCATTTTGATGTTGTGCTTTTGCTTACAATAAAAGTAAAAGTACAAAACTTATTTTGCGATAGAGTTTCTAGAATTGGCCCTTTTAAAATTAGGCTCCCTTAGTAGATAGTGGTAATGACTATTCATTGTGAATGTACTTAATGCCAGTAGAGTGTATATCTTAATCTGATTAAATGGTAAATTTTATGTTTTTCATCATAATTTCAAAGACTGTCTCAAAACTTGAACTCATGTATACATTATATATATTTATAGCTATAAATGTCTCTTCTTCCTCAGAAAGTTTTTGGTTTATGTATTTATTTATGATACATTTAATGCTACTAAAATATTTTAATATAACTGTATAAACATAATAAAATATAAATGTCTTATTTTTAAAAATTTGAATATGATTTTTAGGTTGTGTTCTTTTCTTTTTCATTGCACCTTTTTTGTCAGTAATGAATATTCTCTTTATGTTAGCTTAAGAAAATTCGGTCGCTGCTCGTTGCTGGAGCTGCACAGTACGATTGCTTTTTCCAACATTTACGCTTGTTGGATGGAGCACTTAAACTATCAGCTAAGGATCTTAGGTCCCAAGTGGTTCGAGAAGCTTGCATTACTGTAGCGTAAGTATATTCCTTTTGTGATAAAAATTTTTTATGAATGAAAGTAGTAGTCATCAATTCAGTGCTTGCTTAAGTGGTAGAAGGATAACCCCAAAAAAGCACATGTATATTCCAAAAATTGTTTTTCTTATATATAAAGATTTGTCTGATTATAAAACTTTATATAACTTTATATTTTATTTTTATTTATTTATTGTTTTGGTACTGGGGATCAAACTCAGGTCCTTGTGCTTGTGAGGCAGGTGGCAGAACTACTGAGCTAAATGCCTGGCCCAATTTATAACTTTATACCAGCCTTAAAATGTGTTTATATGTCTAAGCCAGTGATGGCAAACCTTTTAGCACTTTTTTTTTTTTTTTTTTGTACTGGGGATCAAACTCAGGACTTTGCTCTTGCTAGGCAGGCACAGTGCCACTGAGCTAAATCCCTGGGCTCCTTTTAGCACTTTTAATGATAAAAAGAGCACACTGCAGCATGTATACCATAGGTTCGCCATCTGGTATAAGTCTTCTGGTGGATTTTTGATCAACTCTATCAGTATAGGAAGAAAATGATTGGATTTGGAAACTGACTATATTCACTTTTCTCGTTACTAAGTGGTTTTTACTCTTTTTCTGATATTTTAGCAAATTATTCTGGAATTGTAACATGCATCAGTAACTTTTAAAAATCTAAGTATTTATAGTCTTCTACAATGTAAGAATGGTAAAATACCTAAATTCCATTTACTAGTAGCCCCGACCTAAATTCTACTGTTGTATATGTTCTTATTTAAGTATTCTTTTGAAGATAAGGAACAGCTATCTTCTGAGAAAAATGAAGGGTACCTATTACCAGTATTTCTAATTACTGTAGTATTGTATTGGATGTTCTGAGTCAGAACAGAAAAGGGTAAGCATGATAAAATCTGTGAAGATTTTGAGGAGCAGAACTTCCATTATTAGCAGATGATGTAGTTACCCATGCAGAAAACCACAAGGGAATCTACAGATTATTTATTATAATAAAGGGACTTTAGCATAGTTGCTAGGTATAAGTCAGTATGCCAGAATGATCAAGTAGCTCTAGAAACAAAAATGTTTAAAATGTAACCTTGAAAAATATATTTAAATATGACCAGAAAACTGGACAAAATATGTGAAATGACAAATGCCACACAATGTGCTGTGCAAGTGAGTTGAGCAGTATGGTCAGCACAGCATTAACCTGGTAGCACTATAGACCATGGGGGAAACGGGGCAACCTAAGCAGAGCAAGGCAGTCTTACTGAGTTAGGTACACAGAGACTGGAATTTCAGCAGGCTGAGATGACCATAATCTCAAATACAGAATACTGGAAAAAAGAGAGATGCATAGAAAAAGAGCTATAGAAATCTGTTTGATCCCATGAATCTCACTTTCTAGTATATGAAAGGTATAACTCCCTGAGGAGGGGAAAGAACCACTGCTTGGGAGATACAAAGTATACAATTCCCAGAGCTCATTTTGGGCTGAGAGAGGTTCTAGATCCGACTGTTCAAAATGGAGAAACCTTGGCCATGGCATACAGTGGAGACCCCAGAAAGGACATCACGTAGGAATAATACTAAACCAGTTTTGAAGTAGTAAGACTACTCTAGACTTCATACTTCTCACAACAGACTTATAAAAATCAAGTTGATTCCCAGGTATATTTAGTGCCTGCCAGAACAGAGTTCACACTGTAAAGAACACAACAGCCTTCAGGCACAGGTGACACATGCCTGTTTTTTACTTGAGATTCCTTTTTTGCCTATGAATCAGGACCTGAGAAAACCAACTTTATAACTGAACATTAGAAAACAAGTCTGAGTGTGAGAAACTCCCTGAATCAAGAACCTGGATTTTTGGAGCTAACTCTATTCCAACCATGTATTTTAAATAAAATACTATGTAAATATTTTGAAATGGACCAATACTGCAAGCATTGTCAGTACTGTGATTGCAGCATCCTTTGTGTGCTTGTGTGTGCGTGTGTGTGCACACCTCTGTTTAAAACAGGGTCTCAGCTATGTAGTAATTCAAGCTGGTCTTGAATTCACTATGTTGCCCAGGGTGGCCTCAAACTCGTGGCAATCTTCCTGCCTCAGGCTCTCAATTGCTGTTATTACAGACATACTCCACTACTTCCAGCTCTTCATAAATGTTTTAACTAAAATCATATAATTAAAGACTGAATTAATTGTTTAACTACAAATTTGTAAAGTGAAAATAGTTGTCCTTAAAATCACACAACTATCATATGATAGAATTATATTTTCATATGATAAATTATATTTTCAATCATGAATTGTGAAATCCTACTCGAGATATCAGGGAGTATTTGTAATAAGTAAAATGCCAAATTTCATCATTGGGGATAGCCTGTAAAAGAATGGTAAGAAGAAGGAAATATATAGTATTTCTTTCATTTTTTCCCACCATTAGAACTAATTAAAATAAATTTCTCAAGTTAATTCAGTGAAAGAATATTTTTAAAATATATAATTCTACACTGCAAGAGAAACCACCAACAGAGCTAAGAGACAACTCACAGTGTGGGAAAAAGATTTTACCAGCTGCTCCTCAGACAAAGGACTATTATCTAGAATATATAAAGAACTCAAAAAATAATCAGACCCCCCAGATATAATGACCTATTCAAAAATGGGCATCTGAAATGAACAGACATTTCTCAGACAAAGAAGTAAAAGCAGCAAAGACATATATGAAAAAATGTTCCACATCACTGGTCATTCGAGAGATGCAGATGAAAACAACACAGATTCCACCTCACCCCACAAAGAATGGCTGCTATCAAGGAATCAACCAATAATAAATGCTGGCAGGGTTGTGGGGAGAAAAGAACCCTTCTCCATTGTTGGTAGGAGTTCAGACTGGTGCAACCACTATGGAAATCAATATGGAGATACCTCAAAGAACTAGGATTGGAGGTCCCATTTGATCCAGCTATCCTTCTCCTGCATATCTTTCCAAAAGAATTAAAAGAATAATACCACAGTGATATATGCACACCTATGTTTATAGCAGCACAGTTTGTAATAGCTAAAGCTTGGAAACAACAGCCTAATTGCCCATCAGCTGGAGACTAGATAAAAAAGATGTGGTTTTTTAATATACAATGGAGTACTACTCAGCCATAAACTAAAGTCATTCATAGGAAAATGGATGCATATTGAGTCCATACTCTTAAGTAAAATAAATAGGACACATGTAAATACCAAATAGCTTCTCTAGTGTGAAAAGCTAGAAGTGTAAATAAGATTCAAATTGTATAATTGATAATGTGAAATTAGAAGAAACGGGCTAAAGGAGTAGGGGAAGTGGGAAGGGTAGGGAAAAGGGAAAAAGGGAAAAGAAAAAATATGAGAAAAGGGAAAAATGGAAATAGAGTCTTTGTACATAGGGAAAGGTGGAGGGGGTGAAGGGAGGGCAGGGGAATGGGGAAAAAATAAGAACCAAGATCTGTCATGTAAAGATACAAGATCCCAATGATGACTGTAACTACTATGTACCTAAAAAGTACCAATAAACTCATTGAAAATAAATAAATAAAATATATAGTTCTATCTATGTTTAATATTAAACTAGTAAAAATACTTTTTTTTTCTTTTTTTGTAGCCATCTTTCAACAGTTTTGGGAAACAAGTTTGACCATGGCGCTGAAGCTATTGTACCTACACTTTTTAATCTTGTCCCTAATAGTGCAAAAGTCATGGCAACTTCTGGATGTGCAGCAATCAGATTCATCATTCGGGTAGGTTTGCCTCCCTACCCTGCCTTTGATAGATTGAAATAAGTCATTTGTGTTTTTTAAACCCCAAAGGAAGAAATGCTTTTGGATTATTTTTCTGATAATAAAGCAGCATGATTATAGAGCATGTAAATAATACAGAAGATTACAAAACAAAAATGCTTTAATAAGAAATATATGTATTCATGTATGCATATATGTACATTGTACATGTGGATAATCACAGAAGTCCCAAACAGCGATAAAAGCAACAGGCAAAGTCCTGATATTTTTTATCGTATATATTTTGAGGATGCTTAGAATAGAGTCCAAAAAATAAATCTCTGTTGAATTTTGCTGTTTTGTAACTAATCACTCTGTCTATTTAGATTATTCTTTTCCAGATTGTACCTTTATAAATGTATTTGTCACACAATTTAAAAATGTATATTTTAACATATTCGTAATGTAAATGTTTTATGTAAATATTTATACATAGGTACTTTTTAGTGAGTTTTTTACTATTGTTATCTTAAAATATTTTTCTTATTTCCTATTTCTGTTCATTGTGCTTCTTACCCATTTCTTTCTTTTCTTTTCTTTTCTTTTTTTTTTTTTTTTTTTTTTTTTTTTTTTTTTTTTTGGTACTGGGGATCAAACTTAGGACCTTGCACTTGCAAGGCAGGCAGCGAAACCACTGAGCTAAATCCCTGTCCCCTCTTGTGTGTGTGTGTATGTGTGTGTGTGTAATTTAGAAATTCCTTATTCTTTGCCAATGTCAAGAATAAAAACCTTATTTACTCCTCCATTCCTTTTAAAAAATGTACATTTTACCTTATTTAGGTCATTTTCCCTCTTAACTGATGAGTTACATTTTAACAAAGCATATTTTCATTTTCACTAATTGGAGTTGTAGGGTTTTTTGATCCTGGGGATCGAACTTGGGTCCTTGCACTTGCAAGACAGGCAACGAAACCACTGAACTAAATCCCCAGCTCCCTCTTTCTATTTTTCACCAGTATTTCTTTTTTTTTTTCTTTTGGGTTTTGGAGACAGGGTCTCACTATGTAGTTGAGACTGACCTAGAACTCACTGTGTAGCCCAGGCTAATCTTGAACTCACAGCAATCCTCCTGCCTCAGCCTCCCGAGTGCTAGGATTACAGGCATGAGCCACCACGCCCGGCTCACCAGTATTTCTTTATATCCTCTCACTTCTAATTTTTTTGTTTTTGGGTCATTCTTGTTTTGTTTTAGTGTTTTTCAGTTTTCTTCTATACATACTGTGAAAGGTTTGGGGGAGTTTACAGAAGAACTGAAAAATGTGACTTTTGAGTGAGGTGTGGTGGCACACTCCTATAATTCTGGCACTTGGGGGGCTCACGCAGGAGAGTGGCTGCAAGTTTGAAGCCAGTCTGGGCCTCAAAAACCAAAAATTGATTTTTGAACTGTAAATTTACTTTTGTTATCCTGAAAAATTGTTTTCTTAACTCTTTAGTTATTTTCTTTAGAAAGTGAAGTATTATTTGACTATTTCATAGCACAACAAAACAGCCCCTAGGAATGCTTGTTGCATAGCTCCTTGTGTACGGAATTTCCCATAGAAGTTCTGATTTGTGTCTTTTTTTTTTTTTTTTTTTTTTTTTTTTTTTTGGTATTTGGGATCTTCTGCTTGCAAATCAGGGAGTGGCACCACTGAGCTAAATCCCCAGCCCCTTTTGTCTTTTATTAGTACCCCTCTTATTCAATAGATAAAGATTTCTGATTAGAATGAATCATCTTTAAATACTTTATTGTTCATGGATCATTTCTTTACTTTTACTTCTGTCTTTTTAAAATTATCTTCTTTTTTCTGTTTGATTTGTTTCCCAGAGGACTATTTTATATTTCTTCCTTGATTTTTAATTCTCCTTTTAATTTTAGGGAATTTTTTTTTTTAGCTATCAGCTTGTATTAATAAAGTCTAAATTGTTCTGGCTTGGTATTTAGTTGGATGTTTCATCTCTAGTTGTGAGGATCACTTCTCCCTGAATGTAGTGTAACAGTCACTTAGGTTACTACTCTGTCCACATCCTTGCCACTGTCATGAATGTTAGTAGTATAGCAGTAGGATTTGGGGAATCTGGAACAGTGCAGTTTATGAGAGAGAAAGGAAGCTAATGGTAGGTTTTCACTGTATAGTATGGTTGTATAGTATAATATGGCTAGGGTTCTCCATGGGCTTTATCTCCATAGTAGTGTTTGAGCAATAGGCTTTTTTGGATGCCATAGGCAGCAGGTCCTCATTGTCTTTTCATGCTGAGTGTAACAGTTGGATAATTAATTGGTCAGTACACTCTGTTGCATTAATCTCATCTTGAAAAGCTTCAAGTCTATTGGTAATTAACTTCTCTAACTGCTAAAAACAAGTTTTCCCTCTGGGCATGGTGGTGCACTCCTGTAGTCCCAGCACTTGGGAGCCTGAGGCAGGAGGATCTCTGTGAGTTTGAGACCAGCCTTGGCTACATAGTGAGTTCCAGGTCAGTCTTCAACTACATTGTGAGACCCTGTCTCACAAAAACCAGCCAACCAAACAAACAAACAAGTTTTCCCTTTGGTTTAGCTATGGCAAACACTGATATCCCATGCATATTATCCTTCAATGAAATACTTCTCTCCTCCATGCTGGGAACATTGCTGGTAGACAGCCTTCAGTTCCAGCCTCTTTAAGTATTGCTTCAGCTTCAGAGAGCTGCCTTTTTCATGGTCTTCACCCTTTCTATATGGTCTCTCTATATAAATGTTTGACCATCTTGAACCAATTTAAGACTACTCTAAAGGATTCTTTTAGCTCCACAGCTCACTAATGGATTTGGACAAAGATGATCTGATTCTAATCACAGCTCATCATCTTCCTTTGCTCACTCTTATTTCCTTCTTCCTTCCATAGGTAGTGATCCCAAGGATACTTCTCAATAGTATTTTGCATATTAAACTTTATCACAGAGATTGCTTCCTTGGTGACCCAATCTGTACCATTAGCTCAGAAGAAAAATAGGAGATTTAAGGTATTAGTTATATATGTTTAGGTTACTGTTTTATTCTGTATGGATTGTGAACTTAGTGTATCCTTCACTAAAGAAGAACATAAGAATTACTAGTAGAAGTCAGAAGATTTTGTCTCTTGAACTTCTGCTTGAATTCTAGGGAGGCATGGTTCAGCTAGAATGAAGTTCTGTTAAAAATCACCATTCCATACAGAGGGATATAGATTTCTCTGATTGTGTACTTCAGTGATATGTAGTTATTGTTTTCTACCAGCAATAGCTATGGTACTTTGGAAAAGATGATTGATTTATGCCTGCTCCATCCCCACTCAACTGTACTGGCCCAACAGTTCTTTGCATTTCTATAATTAGTCATTGCCATATATTACTACATCACAGATGTCCTTTAGAAATTATCTGATCATTACCATTCTTAATTTCTCTCAAAACCTGATTTATGATTTTTGCACTATTAGAGCGTAACTACCTGAATATAAAGCAAACAGAAGGAGTACATGAAATTCACAGTATTTTTCATCCTTTTCTGAAACATCTTTTACAGCATACCCACGTACCCAGACTTATCCCTTTAATAACAAGCAATTGCACATCAAAATCAGTTCCTGTGAGGAGGTAAGTTTTGGAAAAAAATTGTAGTGTAACATTGCATAGTGTTCAAGTCTTAGTTTGATACAAAAATTGATTGTCATTAATTTCTTTAAATTGCCTTGCAATAAAACATAGTATATATTTTAATACAGGAGTGAAACAGTTGTTTGGACTAACTCATATTTCTCAGTTTTATCATATTAAGTTTTAATTTATCACGGCTGTAGGTTTCCTTGGTTTTCAGAGCGTTTAGAGTCAGGACTGGGCTAGAGTTTTTAAAACTGCCACTGACTGACTCACCTTGAGCAGTAATTTTACTGCTCTGAACTTCAGTGTCTATATATGTCAGTAGGCTAAAGGCATCAATCCCATAGATTGAGAAATAAGTGAGATACACATTAATATAACTTAACCTAGGGGTTGAAGGGAGGGCAGGGAACGGAAAAAATAAGAACCAAGATAGATTATGTAAAGGTACAAATTTCCAATGATGAATGTCATTGTATTGTATACCTAAAAATGCACCAATAAATTTAATGGAAAAAAACACAACCTACTATTAGAAAGAGAGTAAATAGCCAAATCTGGTCTGTCAGTTTCTGTCTTTCTCTTTATGATTTCTACAATTTTTTTTTTTGTACTGGGAATCAAACTCAGGACCTTGCACTTACGAGGCAGGTGCAGCACCACTAAAATCCCAGCACTGATTTCTATAATTTTTAATACTACCATCTTTAAGAAAGACAGGCCCTTTAAAATTTTTTGATAAGAGGGCTGGGAATTTAGTTCTGTGCTGCTACTTCCTGCCTCACCAAGCGCAAGGTCTGGAATTCGATCCCCAGTACCAAAAAAATTTTTTTTAAATAAATATATTTAAGTATTTTAAAAGATACATAGAAGCTGTATAAGACATTACTCACAGTTTGGCAACAGTTTTTCAGTTACCTCTCTCATGCCAGAAGAATCAGCAAGCAGTAGCCTCCAGGTCATATCTGGCCTAGAACTTGATTTTGTAAAACCTGCGAGCTAAGAATAGTTTTTATACTTTAAAGGGTGGTTTTAAAGCCGGAATGGAAAGCCAGGAGTGGTGGTGTACACCTATAATCCCATTACTCAGGAGGCTGGGACAGGAGGATTTGAGTTCAAGGCCAGCCTGGACTGCATAGCAAGACTCTGTCTCAAAAATAAAGAAATAAATGTTAAAATAAAAAGGGAGTGGAGTATGGAAAAATATGACAGAGAGACTGCCTGGTTCATAAAACCTAAAATATTTATTGTCTGGCCCTGTATAGAAAAGATTTACTAATCTAATATTGAAAAAATAGTAGTTGGAGAAATAGAAATATAACAAAGAAGAGGATGAAGGAAGACATCATGGAATTGTCTTGAAATGGGGAGTTTATTAATTGAAGGGGAGGTGAGTAGAATACAGTTTAAGCAGAAATGTAGTAAAGGTATTCTGCATGCTGCACAGGACAGGCCACTGAGGCAAGGACATGTGATCAATAGATTTCTGTGGGAAAAGAGGCTGTTTAGGAGATGGGGTTGAGAGTAAATTGAAGTCATAGTGTGGAGAGCATTTATGTCATGGAGAGAAATTTTGACATTGCTGCTTAGGTAGTAGGAGTATTGACCAAAATTAAAGACTTTTCATGAGAGATTGTCATCCAACCTCGTTTTTATTCCAGCTCTGAACAATGATTGAAAAGGAAAATAAGAAGCATTGGTTTAAATAGGAACTGTTATAATTTATGTAAGAGAAAGGCAGAGTTTGACCTCTTTACCTTTGTTCATATTGATTGAAGGAGATTTTATTTAATAAATTCAAGATACATTTTATATGTGGAAATGATACTTCATATTTGGGTACCATTGATAATACTTGATATGGATGAAGGAGATGGTGTCAGAGGCTTCATACAGTGAGCTCTAGATTCACATTATCAGAGTTTAAGTCCCACTTCTATCCCTTTTAGCAAATTAATTAAATCTTCCTGTTTCTTCATTCCTAATGGGCTAAAAGAATGGATTTGAAGCCAAGTGTAATGGCACATGCCTATAAACCCAAGATACACAAGAGGCCAAGATAGGAGGACCAAAAGTTAGAAGCTATCCATATCTCAAAATGATCCTGACTCAAAAAAGTAAAAAGGGCTGGGGATGTAGCTCAGAGGTGGAACACTAACTTATTTAGCATGCAAAACTCCCCAGTTGGATCCCTAGTATCATGCCCCCCACAAAAAAGAATGGATTTGAGAAGGTAGGAATTATTTATTCTTTTGTATATAGTGTTTGACTTTAAATTATTGCTTATGTGTAGTTATCCATAAACTGATTAGATCTTTTATTTAGCAGCTGAGGCAAGAACCTAGTGCTAATGCTAATTGGACTAGATATGAGAATTTCATCTGATAGTAGATGTAAGAATTATATCTGATAGTCAGACCTGGTAAAGATGGTGTTGCCCAAGTAAAAAGACTTTCAGAGAGCGGTATGCCAAGATTGGCAGCAACCAGATGAACACCTGTTTAAAGATAGGTGCAGAAAAAAGTGTTAATAAAAGAAGGAAAAACAAGACAGCTGTGCTATCAGTGAAGAAGAGCTCAAGAATGAAAAATATGAAGTTGAAGAATGAAATTTGAAGCCAACTAGAGGGCTTAGGAGAAAATGTATATAAACTTGATTTAAAATTATGTAAGGACATATTTAAGATCTAAGTTGTGTCTTTCTTGGTCATCATATATCTTTAGTGTCTAGTGAATAGGTATTTAATAATTTTTTAATTAATGAAATTCATTAAATTTTACATTTAATATTTTCAAGTTAAAATTATGAGGAACTCTTAAAAGTCTTTGACCTAGTTAGCATAGGAATTATTGGATCCTTAAGGTATTCCACAGTTCACATATCTAAAATGTCTTAAGCTTTCAGGAGGCAAAGTACAGTATTAAGAGAATGTTACTGTGTTTCTAATAACGTCTAGTTATAATTTAGCTTTTATTTTTCAGGCGTTCATTTGAATTTTTAGATTTGTTATTACAAGAATGGCAGACTCATTCATTGGAAAGGTATGCACGGTCACTTTCTCCATCCTCTTCCTCTTCTTCTCCCTTCTCTCCCATTGTCACCAATTCTTTAGAAGCTGATAGTATTGATTTTGTATTTTTCTCATTTTGACTTAAAGATTACTTATATTAGTTTTTTATTAAACCTGTGTAATTGTGCTCTTATTACTTGTTGCAGCTATGAATTGTATGATTTTCTTCTTACTATAGTAGGTGCAGGTCCCTTGAGTAGAATGGCTTATATAAATACTCCAAGTAGAATTGGGCAAAATTTTTTAAATATGTCTCTAATAATTACATGTGGAATAGGTCTGCAGTCAGTCATATAATGAATGGTTGAGGACAGAGATAAAGAAGTAACTTCCTATAGCTCGTGGCGCCTCACCTGCCTCGCAAGCACAAGGTCCTGAGTTCGAGCCCTGGTATGGGGTGGGGTGTATATTTTGAAAAGTTTCTGTGCACCAGCTGTCTGGTGTCTTTGGTCAAATAATGCACTGCGCACTAGCTAATGTAACTCTGAGATGAAAGAAGAGAAAATGTGGGCACCTAGTTCGTCACTGGATATTTACATGGCTATATCTTCAAGTGTGAAGCTTCAGAGGTAACTTAAACTTATATTGAGTATGTTGATTCTTATTTTCATGCTAATCATTAAATTTCTTCACAGCTGATTTTTTAAAAATAGAATTTGTTTAGATATGAAATAATTCCAGATTTTAAGTTCTTTTTGGTTCCCCTTACTCAGTTTGCTCATATCAGATATCATATCATGTATCATACTCTTAGCAAATCATTTTCTACAGTGGTGAGTTAGGAATCACATAGAAAAAACTTCTCCCTCTGATTTATTAAAATTTTTAGTTATATACTGTATATATTATCTGGCTTTTGTAAAAAAATTACTTTCAGACTTATAATGATAGGGCTATTAGAAGACAATCACATTGAATGAAATATTTGGGGCAAATTATTAGAGAATCCTACTTTTTTTTTTTTTGGTACTGGGGATTGAACTCAGGTCCTTGTGCCTGCAAGGCAGGCAGCAGAACCACTAGGCTAAATCCCCGGCCCTGAGAATCCTGCAATCTTAGATTTATTATTTTGCACTAATATTTTTACATCTCTTACCTCTTTGTGATAGTTGTGGTAATAAGTATCATTTGTGGTAAAATATATAACTTTATACATGAATCTAAATATATATTTATTCTATAGACATGCGGCTGTCTTGGTTGAAACTATTAAGAAGGGAATTCATGATGCTGATGCTGAGGCCAGAGTGGAGGCAAGAAAGTAAGTCTGTACTGTATTTCTGTGACAGTTTAAACATACTTTGATCAGCTTTAAAAATGAATTGTACTGAAAACATGAAAATGTTGAGATGTCCCATGTATTATACTTGATTAGCTTTTCAGCAAAATTAACATTAGTTTTATCCATTATATGTGTTTTGGACATCTAACAAACAACCTGCTTCAAATTGTCCTTTGTATAATCATCAGTATTCTTATTCCTTCATAATGTATTTACTTTCATTGTAAACAAAAGCAGCTATCATTTATTGAATATGTAGTGTGTATCTGGTACTGAGTGCGAGGTACTTGGTATGCATTATTTTCTAATCCTTAAAAAGATTTTGCGAAGATGGCTTTACCTCCATAGGTGGCAGCTGAAGTCTGGAGATTTGTAGGTTTCCTCAAAGCCACATAAACTATAAGTGGCACAGTCAGGTTTTGAATTGAGACCTGCTTTTTTCAAAATCCTTCAGTCAGCTAAGTGTGGTAACCATACCTGTAATCCCAGCACTTGGGAGAAAGATTCAGGAGGACTGCAATTTTGTCTACCTTGGCAACTTAGTGAGACCTTATCTAGGAAGAAGGGAAGCAAGCAAGTAAGCAGGCAAGCTGCAGATGTATTTCAGTGTGAAAGCCCTGGGTTTGATCCATAGTACTACAAAAAAACTTTTAAAGACCTGTGGTTTTTGCACTGGAACTTCTATAATTTAGAAAGCATTCATCTGCCACACAGTGTATTAAAAACCTGTGAGTTCACCTTTATCCTTAAATGTGCATATTTTACTGATAAAATCTAATGTAAAAAGCTATTATTTTATGTGCTTTTATTTATTTTCTTTTTCTTTTTCTTTTATAGGACGTATATGGGTCTTAGAAACCACTTCCCTGGGGAAGCCGAAACATTATATAATTCCCTTGAGCCATCCTATCAGAAAAGTCTTCAAACTTATTTAAAGAGTTCTGGCAGTGTAGCATCTCTTCCACAATCAGACAGATCCTCATCTAGCTCACAAGAAAGTCTCAAGTAAGGTCCTACAAGTGTTAATGCCTTATCTATTCTTCTCTCAACTCCTCAAAGTTTCTTAAGTTGGATCATTAACTCTATGCTAGGTTTCTCCTAAAGCCTTGAAAAAGTGGTGATTCAAGTATACTTATTTTCTTTGGTTTGTTATCTTGGGAGTTAGATTACATGCTAACTTAACTACTTCTGTTTGGGTAAAGTTTAATTATTCATGCCTTGTTTCTTTATCTTCATGTCTGTAAAGTCTGGAAACACTACTACTCTACTGTTTTTCTTCCTATCCTTTTTTGCAGCTCATCAAGAAAGCAAAATGATTTCGTATCTCACTTCTCTGTAACTTTTTTCTCATAATGACATTTGCTACTTAAAATCCTTGTTGTTTTGGCAGTGGTGTTCCTCTTTTGTATCGTTCTAGATCTGTGAGATTACTAAAATTTCTCATGCCTTTTCTGCTTCCTAATGGTAGCCCTCTGTCTGCTTTCATAACCTCTCTCCCTGTTCCCTGTATCTGCAGTTTCCCCTAGGAAGGAACAACTCACAAAATGTCCGCTTACAGGCTGGGAATTTAGCTCAGTGGTTCTGCCACCTGCCTCACAAGCTCAGGGTCCCAAGTTCGATCCTCAGTACCAAAACAAACAAACAATCAAAACAACCAATCTGTAAAATTTTTTTCCCCTCTTTGGGACCTTTTCTCTTTGGAAACCTCACCACCATCACCTTTGCTGGTTGCCTTGCAAATCAGTGTGGAACTGGGATTATGGTGAAGCACCTAGGGTACAGAATTTATAGAGGTACTCACAAGGCTGTGTAAATATTACAGTTTAGTTTCTTACAAATTTCAAAATAAAAACATTTTATTTCAAAAAAATTACAGTAGGAATAATAATGTATCCAAACTTCTGCTTAAATTTCTATTTGAACTTTTACCTAAACTTGTATTTTAAATTTGTAATTACTCACCTCACCTCAGATGTCTTGTATTGTTTTTTTCCTTTGTTGCTTTTGTTTCCCTTTTTACTTACTATGTTCAAACTTTAAAGACCATGCGAATCACTTAAAGATCATATTAAAATTCAGAGTCTTATCAGTAGTTTTAGGGTGGGACCTGTAAATTCACACTTTTTACAGACTTTAGTGTAATGTCATTGCTATTTGTCCATTCACCATACTTTGAATAGCAAAGAAGATATTTAATTTCACTCTAGTGTAACTGCTTTAAACATTGTGAACATTGAAGTGGTTACCTCAATACAGAAGGATAATAATTTTTGAGAATAATTATAAAAATAATATAATGTGGCTTTAATAACCACTGTCAGATTTACCGTTGATAATGATGTGACTTAAAGAATATTTTTCTATAGCCTGGCATTAATCTGTCTAGGGGGTTTTGCTTTTTCTTTATTTCACCTTTTAAACATATACTTTCTGGATATTTATCTATGGGCTACAGAGTGCCAGTGTAATTAAAGATAAATAGTTTTAAAAAGTTAAAGTAGATGGTGGGCCTTTTGAAGTGCTAAGATGTCTTGTTAACATTCTCCAGTCACATGTTATCCTCAGCAGTAGTTCTTGGCCTTGTTTTTGTTGTCCCACACAAAAGAGTAGTACTGTGTCTGGAAAGTGTGATAACTGCATAACAGCATGAGTTTGGTAATGGTCACAACTGTTAAGACTTTGGGAAAGAGGCTTTGGTTCTGCTGAGTTGCTTAGCAGAACTACCTGTTTTTCCTTTAAAGCAAAACATCTAAAGACATAAGTGGTCGATTGTACTTACATTGGGTCCTCATGTTGTGTGTGCATGATGTGTGCTGAATAGTATAGTAAGTAAAAGCAACCTAGCCTTACCCTAGAGTTTACCATCTTTATTGCCAATTATTTTATTTTTGCTTTACAGATAATTGAGACACCACTAATATTTGATATGTGCTTGAGAACAACTGTTCTAAAGTGATTTTTAAAAGGAAAGTTAAAACTAGAACTTTCTTAACTTTTCAGAAAACTAGTATTTTAGTAGCTATTGCCACAGGTGTGGTTAAGTCTTCTAACTAAAAGCATTGTTTTTTCCTTGCAGCCGCCCTTTTTCTTCTAAATGGTCTACAGCAAATCCATCCGCTGTGGCTGGAAGAGGTAATCGCCTTTTTAAGAGTTATAATTTACTTTATCTGTAGCCAGTAGCCTTTAAACTATATTGATGTGATACAAAATGAGAAAATTGTTACCATAACCCTGTGAGATACATGTATGATACACACACACACACAAACACACACACACACACGTACAAAACTAGAATTTTCATGAAGCAGTACTACTTACTCTTACATATAATGCACTCTTATTTTCTATTATTTTATTTCTTTAACATGCTGATCATGAGCTACTCCATTGATTCTACTACTGTTAATGAGTTGTGACTCAGTTTGTAAAACTCCTCTTTAAAACTAAAATTCAGAAGTTTAATGACTTACCTTGTAGTGCTTAAGAGTGGCAGAACTTCCATTCATGTTTTGAGTGTCCCTACGCTAGGACTAGTTTTTCTTGCCTTTTTCTGATACTAAAGAGAAAATGCTGTTGCCTTGTATTTATTTTAGAGTGCTTCATTTTCATAAATCAGTCATGAACATCTCTTCATCTACCAAACAATTCTATGAATTTTACAGTCAAAATGGATCATTTCTCCAATGGGTAAATGAAAATAAGAGAGAAATACTGAAAATTGCCACAAAACTTAGTTGTATCAGGATTGAAACTGAGGCATTCTGACTTTTAAGTAACTTTTATGTTATTCTCCATTTGGCCATTGCTTCCTCGTCAATGATGTGTCATCATGGGTTTACTCTTGATGGGTTCATGTTTGTGTAAGTAACCTTGATGTTCTTTGCAACGATTTAAATAATATAGGTTACCTTTGTCTTGTCTTTTCATAGTATCGGCGAGCAGCAGCAAACCCAGTTCCCTTCCAGGAAGCTTGCAGCGTTCACGAAGTGACATCGATGTGAATGCTGCTGCTGGTGCCAAGGCACATCATGCTGCTGTGCAGTCTGTGCGAAGTGGGCGGCTGGGTGCAGGGGCCTTGAATCCAGGTTCCTATGCATCACTGGGTAAGAAAACTAATTCTAGGAAATTGTACAGAGTTTTTTCCTTGGTCTAATTGAAGACAAAGTAATATGTTGTAATCATTTCTACTTCATTTCTTGCTAGGTTAAGAGTAATTCGTATGTTAAAATATGAATTCTGAGGAACAGTGGAGGTTAATAGTAGAAAAAAAAATAGTACACGATATTGAATGAGAGGGAGAGGTTTTAGCTCACTAGAGAGACATAACTGGGTCTGAGTGGGTTGCTGGGGACCCCACTTCACAGGGGAAGTTTTATTTAGCAATATCATGAAATAGGAAGTTTTACCTTAGTTGAGATTTCTTTTAGTTAAAAGACCTAGGGATAAGAAGTTCCTTTGTTACAGTACATTACATATGGCTCTTTATTATAATGTAGACATTAGGGAGTCAAGTGTTTATACCAGCACCAAACTCAGGTGAACAGTGAAGCAAGATTTCTTTTACTGGCATTGAGATTGTATTCATCTTTACATGCAATATATTCTTTGGTAGACTTTTGATGTAATTATAGAATTTACAAAGGAAAATAATGAACTAATTCATGCAAGTTTTGAGCACAATATTTATCACCATAAACTATTTATACAGACTTAAGAAAACTTTACATTGCCTTAGAACTTGCCAATTAGCATTAAGTAAAATAAAGTGGTACAAATGAGTTTTAAAAATACTTTTCATGATACTTCTGGTAATGGGACAAATTTTGAAGCATACGGAATTCTTTTGATTCATAATGGCTGCTGCTTTGTCCCCTATATCCTCCCCAAAACATGGCTATAAAGGCATCATTTTTGGAACAGATATCTAAAACACTCCAGTAAAGCAATATAAACAGTGTTAGCAGCAGTTTTTAACTGTACCATAGCATTCTCATATTTATGCCTTGTACTCTGAAGCATGGAGATTGAAAGTGGATCATGGTCAATCAATTACAACAAAGGAAAGGAATATTACATAATTTTATCTGTCATATATCAAGGCAATATATATCACGAAATTTCAATGTCGATTTGGTCTGGAAATTTATTTCTCTGTGCACTGAGCTTTCTTACATCCAGTGGTATATTTCTAAAGTTTTGTTTTGTTTTGTTTTGCTTTGTTTTGTTTTGTTTTTTCTCTTACCAGATCCCAAAGTTTTTCTCACTAAGGATGTAGAATTGAAATATATTTTGGGTGACATAAAATTAGTGTCATGATTATATAGTCCCAAACAGAGCCACCCATACTGCTATAGTTCTAAAGTCATCTTAGATAAAATAAATAAAGAATCTGAACTTTAAAAAAAAACAATCACAAGGGTAGGGACAATGTGGGACAAAATTATCAACCAGTGCAGAAAAAAAAATATGCATAAACACCTATGTGCAAAACATCAAAACTTCCATATCTTCTAAAATTTATCTTCCATAACATATCTTCTAAAATCCTAAGGAATCCACTTAAAAAATCAGAGCTAATTAACAAGTTCAACAAGATTACAGGATACAAGATAAGTTTTATTTCTAAACACTATCAGTGAACAATAAAGAATGAAGTAGATAGAACAACTATAATAACATACTTAGGAATAAATATAGCAAAAGATGTTTAAGACCTATACACTGAAAACTGCACCTTTTAACACAGTTAAAAGAAATTAAAGAAGACCTAAATAAATGAAATAACAAAACTGGAAGACTCATACTTCCCAACTTCAAAACTTAGTTCAAAGCTACAGTAGTCAAGTCTGAGAGGTAGGTACTCTTATAAAGACAGACTTAAAGACCAGTGGACTAAAGATTTTAGAAATAAGCCCATACATATGGTCAGTTTATTTATTTATTTGTTTGTTTGTTTATTTATTTTTGTACTGGGGATTAAACCCAAGCAGGCACTGTGCTGCTGAACTATGTTCCTGGCCCCCATCAGTTGATTTTCAGTAAGAGTTCCAAGACCATTCAGTAGTGAAAGATTTATTTTGTCAACAAGTGGGAATGAAACAGCGGGATGCAAAAGAATTAAGTTGGACTTCTGCTCTACAAACTCAATATAGATTCAAGACCTCAATATAAGAATTAACACTGTAACACTCAGAAGGAAACAAAGATATAAATCTTAGTAACTTGGATGGTAGTAGTTTCTTAGATCTGTTACCAAAGATACAATCAACCCCTTAAGACAGATTTTAGACTTTGTTAACGTGTTCCCACTGGTGGTAGGTGCATGTCTCATCAGGCAGCTTATACCACCTCTTGGCACTGTCCCATGGGACAGTCATGCATGTACTTCCAGTGTTCCAGAGCTGCCTTGTACCAATTATGGCCCCATCACAAACGTTAAATTAAGAACTTTAGTGCTTCAAAGGACACCGCCAAGAAAATAAAAAGATAGCATCCAGAATAACAAAATATTTGCACATCGTATACATGACTAGAGACTCATGTCCAAAATATACAAAGAATTCTTAGAACTCAATAACAAAAAAAAAACTTCATTTTAAAATGGATGGAGGGTTTGATTAGCCTTTTCTCTAATGCAGATAGATTGCCAGTATGCACATGGAAAGGTGCTCAGTATCATTAGTCATTAGGGAAGTGCAAATCAAAAAGACAATAAAAACCGCTGGTGAGGATATGAAGACGCCTCATATACTCCTGTGGGAATGTAAAATGCAGTAGCCATTTTGAAAATAGTTTTTTAACTTCTCAAAAACTTAAACATAGAATTACCATATGAACTAGGAATTCCACTCCTTGCTGTATGTACAAGAAATGTGCAAACACAGATTCTCTCAAAAACTTTTATGTAAATGTTCATAACATTATTCGCATTATAGGCAAAAAGCGGGAATTACCCAAATGTCCATCGACTGATAAATGGTAAGCAAAATGGGTATGCCCAAACCACGAAATGAAATATTACTCAGCAGTAAAAATGAGTGCATTAACATAAAAATTCATGGCACAAGATGGACCAACCTTGAAACCATTATGAAGCCAGACACAAACAGCCATTTATTACATGAATCCAGTTATATTTAATGACTAGAATAGATAAATCCAGAGTCACAAAGTGAATTAGTCGTTGTTAGGGAGTAGGATGAAAGGAATAGGGAGTGATTGGCAATGGGTATAAGAGTTTTGGGGGATGTGATGAAAATGTTCTGGAATTAGTAGCAAAGATTATACAATCCTGTGAAAACATGCAGTTGTATACGATACAAAAGTGAATTTTATTATATGTGTGAATTAATGCCAACTTTTAAAAAGTGGTACAAAAACTAATAAAAATGAAATCTGTTCATCGGGAACGTTCAAAATAAATATATTACGTGGAATATCTATTACTTTTTTTGGGGGGGGTACTGGGGATGAAACAGGGCCTTATACTTGCAAGGCAGGCTCAGTTCCACTGAGCTACAACCCCGGCCCTGAAAATCTAATACTTTTATTACCAAGAGGAAAGTATTGTATCTAAAATGTTTTCATGTGAAGAAAAATATGAAAAAGGGAAAAAATAGAAACAAAGTCTTTGTAAATAGGGAAGGGTGAAGAGAGGGCAGGGGAATAGGGAAAAAATAAGAGCCAAGATATATCATGTAAAGGTACAAGATCCCAATGATAAATGTAACTGTATTCTTTGCCTTAAATGTACCAGTAACCTTAATGGGGGAAAATAAACAAAACGTTTTAATGTGAACTAGAAAGCCAATTTGCAACATTTTTTTTTCACAAAAACCTGCAATAGTTCCATGAGATAGATGATTTATCTCTTTTGATTGTTTAAGGTTTAAAATGCATGGTTTGTTTCATTATTTTCTTTATCTGGCATAAGTTCATAGGGACAATCAGCTGCCTGCCTATGACTCTTTCTAGGGATTAGATAAAGGATGCCCTGCTTCTCCGGTCTCCCTTTGTCTCTCAGCCCTACCTCACTTCCTCTATTGTGTACCCTTCTTAAACATGTGAAGCTGGTGGATTCTTGGTTATCTTACATTTTGAGCTTTGTTTATCATGGCTGAACCTAGGTGGTTCAGAAGTATTTCATTCTTCTTAGCGAACACTCATGGAGTGGGTAGTTTTTGACGGACACCCTGCTAGTTACCAGACTATATTCGTTTATATTCAGTTTATCTGTCTGTTGGTAGCTTGATCAGGGATGAGCAAATAAAGGTTATTTTACTTGAATGTATTTTGAGTTTGAAGTCCCTACAAAACCTTAAACTGAAAGTATTTAGGGGATAGTTGCGATATAGGAGCGTAGCACTCAAGAGAGATCTGTCTGTATTGAACTCTGTATTTCTTAAAGCATTTGCTTCTGATTCATTCACACTTTCCCTAAAGTACTGAATCCTTTGTTGCAGAGATACAGTAGCCCCTCGACTTACGACTGGCCTCACATATGAACAATTTGGGTTACAACCGGAATTTTATTTTTAACTTCACAAAGCCTTGAGTTACAACCTGAATGCTGGCTACTTGTGCTTCCAGATGCTCAGATGCAGATTTAACCCTTAAAGAATTCTGGAAGGAACATTACAACATCCTTGTGAGGGGTTAATTGGGAAATCCTGGGCCGATATCTCTCTAAGGACACTGAGATATGCCCAGAAGAAAGTGTGGCCTAAAATTATAACAGGAGAGAAACTTTGAAGGCTGTGTAGAGGAGCCTGAGCCCTCCAACTGACCAACTTGAGTTACAACCAGCCCTTGAGAACGAATTGAGTTCATAAGTCAAGGGTCCACTGTATCATGAGTGTTTTGAATTCCACCTTGAACTTCTGGAAGAAGCGTGGTATGGTATGAGCTAGTCAGGGATTTATATTAAGGAAACCTTGATACCTACATGTATGTATATTTTTTAATCTCAGCAACAGGGTTTATGAAGTTACTTGAATGGAGAAGAAAATGTATAGTTTTGTTGGAATCATGTGAATACAATTCTAAATTCAGTGAAGTTTGGAAGAGAATCTATATAAAATTTTTGTTTCATGGTCAAGCAAAGGGATGAAAGAGCACTGTAGGAAATATCTGTAGTTCCAGGTTCGGTAACTTTTCTTTAATGATTGATGATGTTGGATATGTTTCTGTACTAAAGCAGTAAGTCTGTAGAGAAGTAAGGATGTGGAAGGATGACAGGAGATAATGTCATGGTCACATCCCAGTGGAAGGCATGAGGATGGGATACACAGAGCATAGTGGGAGAGATGGCTTACATGTGGAAGAGCCACCTGTTTCCCTGAGGTAGAAGGGAAGGAAATGAAGGAGGTGGTAGATTCCAATACGGTTTTTGTGGGGGGTGGGTATTAAGAATGCTGTGGAGGTTGTGATTCTCTGCCTGAGGATGCAGAGGCAGGATTATGTGCCAGGAGTTGATTCGAGACTTGAAAAGACATCCGGGGAGCCCAAGAAGAGAAACCATCTTGGGCTTCCCACAGTCACCCACATATTGGAGGACACTGAAAGGACTTGCAGGAATTAGAGGCAGCTCCATTCATGACTTTTTTAGAGCAAAGGGGTACACATTAGAACCCACAAAGGAAAAAGACTCCCCAGGTAGATTGGAAGCACCCCTCTTCCAGAAGTGAGATTAGGGGGCTGCTCCTCCCTCTGACAGTGAAATTCAACATGTGCACAGCATTTCTACCCAGGGAAGCTTGCTGAAGAGGCCAAGGTGGGAAAGGTGTGGGAGGTAGTCACTCGGGCACTCTCCTGGCACAACCAGCCACAATTACCAGAATTCCAGACTCCCAGTAAGAAAACAATTGTTCACCATAAATCTTTTTTTTTTTTTTTTTTTGCAAAAACTAGCTTAGGAAAATTGGTGTAGCAGAGTTCAGTGTTCCTATCCTTACTTAAAATACCTTATCGTTAGCAAAAGGAGTATTAATGGGCCTGGGTTTAGCTCAGTGGTTGTACCACCTGCCTCACAAGTGCAAGGTCCTCAGTTTGATCCATGGTACCAAAAAACACCCCCACCAAAGGAGCATTATAAACTAAGTTACTAGAGGCTAGCCTCATAGGCAGGACCTTCTTAAGGGCAGTATCAATCCTGCTATGTTAACTCTTTCCTATACAGACACTTAAAGGCCATGTCTTTAGTAGTATCCATACCCATGACTGTATGGTTTTATAATTTTCTCATCAAGCAGAGAAAATGAGAAAGTTGTTAAGATTTATCCAGATATCAGCCAGGTGTCATGGTGCAAGCCTGTAATCCCAGCATTTGGGAGGCTGAGGCAGGAGGATTTCTGTGAGTTTGGGGCCAACCTGAATTACAGATCTAGATTATGTCTCGTAAAACTATTTTAAAAAGCCAGCTCAGCGGTTTCACCACCTGCCTCACATGCCAAGGTCCTGAGTTGGATCCCCAGTACCAAAAAAAGAAAGAAAAAAACCATTGCGAAATAGGAAGAAATAGTTCACAAAGAAAGTGGGGAGGAAAGGAAAAGAAAAAATAAGAAAAGAGGGATGAAATGGAAACAAAACTTTGCAAATAAGGAGGGGTAGAGGGGATGAAGGGAGAGGAGGGGATTGGGGGAGAAAAAAGTCATCAAGATATATCACTTATAGGTACAAATTCCCCATGATTGATATGATCATTATGTGTATCTAAATTGTACTGATAAAATTAATAAAAAAGATTTATCCAGATGTGAGATGATAGAGGTTGAAAGTTCTAAGAAGAGATGGGAGTAGGTCAGAAACAAGTCAGTGAACAGTATGTTGGAATGATTAATTCTGTTCTCTCTTTAAAAAACTTCTTTAGGGATTATAAAATCACTTTCTAATATGCTAAGTTTTCCTCTGTTTTTGCTTGCTCTTTCATCAAAGAGGATACTTCTGACAAGATGGATGGTAAGAACTCCCTTTCATAATTCTACTACACAGTTTTATGGCTCTTGGGCTCTATATTATATCCTTATTCATTCCTCTCTTAGATTCTGAAAACACACTACCTATTTACCAAGAATCTTACTGTGAAAATGGCTACATAACTCTCTAACTGAATTTTGGATTAAGTATTTTCATTTTTTGGGTTCTCCAGTCTACCCAAATGTAGATTATTGTTTGTTGTTATTTAAATCAGTTATTTTAAAATGTTTTATCTGTGCTCTTAGAAATATACCTCTTATCCTCCTTTACAGTATTGGATTCAGAAGAATGAAACATCTCATAAATCATTTGATTCAGCTATTTAGTTTACTGTTATAGACAGAAAAAGACATTTCACTGGTTCAAATGACAATTTATGAAAATAAAATACTAGTTACAGATGCTATATTTTTTTGGGGGGTGTCAGGGATGGAACTCAGGCCCTTGTGCTTGAGAGGCAGGCAGCGGAACCACTGAGCCAAATCCCCGGCCCCAGATGCTATTTTTTTAATAGTGAATTTTAAACTAACATTTAATCTTTACTGTAAGCTTTGTCAGGACTAGGGTTGTAGGTCAGTGGTAAAGCAGTTGCCTAGTATGTATAAGGCCCTGGGTTTAATCCCCAATACCAGGAAGGAAAATGACAACTTTGTCTTTTTTCATTATTCATATGACTAGAGTCTATCTGTAGTAGCTTGGTTCAGTACTAAACCTATAACTTTTTTTTGTCTGATCTTAGCGTATTATTTATACCTTGCCCTTAAAAATAACTTGGAATAAGATATTGAAATCTGTAAGTCACTTTATGAGATCTAGGAAAAATTAAGACACTGTTAGGATTTTCTGTCAATTATTACATCAACTCTAAAAGTTAACATAATATATATTTCCTATTTTAATGAAATGGAACATTTATTTGATCTTGGGTTGGGTATAAGAGTATTAGTTAAATTAACCTCTCCTTTTTTGTAAGATTTAAGTATTCCATTAAAAAAATATCATATGTCAGTTATCAAGAAATTTTCTTAGCCAGCTGTGGTGGCCTACACCTATAATCCCAGCATTTGGGGGACTGAGGCAGTAGGATTGGCCATGAGTTCCAGGGCAGCCTGGAATACATAGTGGGTTCAAGGCTAGCCTGCACTACATTGATTCTGCTTCAAAAAACAAAGACCAACCCAAACAAGGACTGGGGATTTAGCTCAGTCCAAAGATACTGGGTTCAATCCTAGTACCACCAAAGGAGTTAGAGGAATGCTTTCTTTTTATCAAAACCTTAGATATTGCTGCTAGCATTGATATTCCTGGAGCCTTTAGAAAAGTTTTTATTGCTTTCAGTCATTGTATTTTCTTGTTTGGATCAGAAATAACCTATTTGAGGAGTCACATCTGTCATATGATGTGCAATCCACTGATGTTCAAATTTTTGAAAGTACACAGACATGTACATTATAGCTCTTTCTGAGCAATTAGTTATGATGTTGGTTCTTGGGCCTTTTTGGTAGATTACACTGACCTTTTAGGGAGTAATCATGAATGTTGAGGAAATAACTGATGGATTGGATTGGTAGGTCTTTGGCTTTGTATATACTTTGAAAATTCTGGGCAAATGAGGCCTAGGCTATGGGTTTGACCTCCATTATTTGTCAGTTAGTTTTTAATACTTCTTTTATGAGCTATCTTTTGAAAATACACTGAAAATATTCCTACTCTAGAAAGATATCTAAAAATCTTTATTTACAAAGATTAATTATAGAATTACATCTTTTTTGAGTAAATAATTTCACTTTCAAAATTTAAGGATAAAAAATACTTAAGGATGAAATATAGAAATGTTCACTACAGAATTTTCAGCTGTCTAATGTCAATTCCTTGCAGGTGCTATGAGTCAGGTATCTCAACTTTTTTTCTCAGAATGAAATTTAATATCATTAATGAAATTTAATTTAATAAAAGTTATTTTAAGTCTGTCAGACTACAAGTTATTTTTTTTGTTCTCACTTTTTTGTTTTAGTCTTGGGTGGGTGTTAAAGGTAGCAGCATGGGCAGAATTTTTTGAAATTTTGTTTTATTTCTCTTATTTAGGAACAGCCTCTGAAGATGGTAAGAATTATACATTTTGTTAGTAACACAAATACTTCTATATTACTATTTTCATTGGTAGGAATTAAAACTAAAATGGGCTAATTTATTTGCAAATCTTTCTAATTTGCCAGCGGTGCTAGTTTCTACATTCTACATTTGGTTGTGTTGATTCTACATTTGGTTTTATTCATTCTATTTTTGAGGTGTTTTTTTTTTTTTTCCTAATTCTTCATCCTACAGTTTTGCTTTGTGTCTTGGATCGTTTCACGCTGAAAAACATACTTTCTTAACTTGTTTAATAATTTCTAATACCAAGTTAAGACATAATTTCATTTTTTCATAAATGTTATTTAAACACTTCTTTTGGTTTTGTGTGTGTTTTAATGTATACAAATTCATTTCTACTTTGCAGGAGCATGTGCCATTGGTTTTTCATTTGAGTTTAAATGCCTTTATTTAGTCCACTTTGAAATGTATCTTTTATTTTGGCATCAGTGGTTGGTGCATTGGCTATTCACTGAAACTGAATTTGAGATTACAGCTAAGTTGCTGCATGCATTTTATTGAGTTTACCTTAAAAATAATTATTTGTTCCATTTGAATTTGTGTGAAAGAAAATCAATTTTTGTATTTATCCTATCTGAAGACTCTTATTAAAGCCTTTGTTTTAAAATACAATTTTTTCTTTCAGATAGATGACATTTTCTTGTGTATAGAGCCAAGAAGGTTGAAACTATTTTTGGCTCATATACTTTGATATATTTTAAATACTTTATATTTTGTTTTGAACTGTAATACCTTATAAAAACATGACTTCTGACATTGTGGCCACTAATGATAGCTTATTTAAGCTTTTTGTAATTTAAAACATTACTATCAGAATACTTATATCCTAATTTCTTTAAAAGAATATAAATAAATTCTCCATTTCAAAAATAATAACTTGATCTTTCTGTTTTAATTCTTAGTTGTGAAGATAATATATCCTATTCAAAACAGACTCTGCAAAAGCCTGAGAGGCCTGGAATATGTACTCATTAGGGCCCTTGAAATTGATGAGATGATAGAATTTTACCAATTATGCTTCTGGTTTTGCCTCTGTTTTATTTCTGGTTTTTGTTACTCTCTTATTTTGCCTCATTGTTAATTTTTAAACTTTTTCCTAGTCTGTGGTATATTAATATGACTATATCAGACTAGCTAGAATTTTATGCATTCCCTACAAATTGTTCCTTTTTATTAAAAAGGATTCTGAGCCTTCCTTTTGAATATGTTTGGTATTGGTCTGATTTGATTGAGACCATTGCTTGAGAACACCAAAGTACCTGCTAGTAATTATTTCATCATCAATTGTTTTTATTAATGGCAGCCTGAGTGCTTTGATAAGAAATAATTAAGGAAAAGGCCAACTTTTATGTAATATGTATTTCCTCAAACCATTTTCTGAATGAAACTGGTTAAAAGTAGTAAATCTAGAATAATCTGATATAAGAAAGATTAAATATTTTTTCAGTAGTGTGTCTTCCTGCAAATTTCTTTAGAAATACATTTTCAGCCCAAAGGACTGTTTGATTATTGTTTTTAAGATTAGGCTCATATATAAAACTATAGGGTAAATTTGAGAATAATATAAATTTTCTGGAAACTGAAATTTTAGAATTACAACTACCAATTAAGCAACAAGGACATACCTGTAGCAATTATCTTAATGATGACTACTGGGCTAATTAATATAAAACTCTCAAAGATTTGAAAATCTGGTTTGAGGTTATTCTTACCCTTGAAAGAAAGTTAGTTTGCAGTACAACACATAAAAAGCAGTATGAAGCCAGGTATGATGATATGCACCTTTTGGCTGAGGCAGGAGGATCACTTTAGCCTATATGTGGGCCAGTGTAAACAACATAGCTAGATTATGTTCAAAAACAAACCCAGATTTTTTTTCCAGATTATATTTTTTAAATTTTAAGAAAAATGTAACCTATGAGTGATGATTATATCATTACAGAATTAAACTGCTTGAAAATGGACTTTCTCCTTTAATACTATTATATTTTAAAGTTTTTAATTCTGTAAATATTTTATTCCTCAGGCCGGGTGAGAGCAAAGCTTTCAGCACCACTTACTGGCATGGGAAGTGCCAAGACTGATTCTAGAGGAAGAAGTCGAACAAAAATGGTGTCTCAGTCACAGCGTATGTACTGCTTATTAATCCCCCCCGTATTTGTGAATATGTTAGAATAAATGTGGTGCTTGCATATTACTGTAGTAGGAGATGACCAGTGGACAAATTTCAAAAAAGATAAGCGACATACTGAGTTCTCGTTCTGTACTTTAGGTTCATCATCACCTGACAAAAATGAAGGTATTTTTTTCAATGTTTTGGGTCAGTTGTTGTGCATGTATTGGAATTTTTTTGAGTGGGTGTTGTCTTGTCTTTGTGTTATTAGGGCTGCATCATTGATATCTACCACTTAGAAAGAAAAAAAAATCATCTGCTATATAAACTTTTGCATGGAGATATTTAGCACAAATATCCTTAGCATTAAGATTTTCACATTCCACTCAGAAACTTGCAGATGTGGAAAATGATATCTTTTAAAGGCAAAATCATTGCCATATTAGCATCAGAATCTGTTTGCATCTAGCTAGTGTTTTTCAAAGACAGGCACTTTTATCTTCTTACCCCAGCATCTATTCTTTGAATATTTATTTTTGGTTAGCATTTCTGAAAAGATTTATAGTGATTAAAAAGAAAACAGACAACCAAGTCTCTGTATTCCTTGATAAATTAAGCTTTATGCTTTTGTTAGTTTGTTGAAAACTGAGTTCCTCATAAAAAAAGGAAAAAAGCACCATTTTGGGGTCCTGGTAAAATGAATGTTCTATTTATATATGTTCCAGGGCAAGGGGTTTAGCTCTGGTGCCACCACCTGGCTTGCAAGTACAAAGTCCTGAGTTTGATCCCCGGTACCATGCCCCTCCTCAAAAAAATTCTATATGTTCCAGCATAGCAACATATACATTTAAGACATTAATTAAAAACATTTTGCTCCCGTTCCTTCTCTACCAAGAAATTTTCAATAGCATTTATCTCTAACATCAGGAATTTTTTTCTAGGGAAGTAATTTTGAGGGTTATTCTATATACTTGGCTATTTTGCAATGAAATTGATTTAACTGTCTTCCACTATTATTTAGATGATTTATTAGGATATAGATGTTGTATTTGTCTGGTTTTTTTAACCTAATTCCTGGAGTTTGGAATCAGGAAAAAGCAAAGCTTGGAGATAGTATAGTGATAGTTATACATGGCCTGCCTAAGAGAATTGTCCTCCTTCCAAAGTCTGAATATCTAGGCAGAATAACAAAGGGAGCACGCATCAAAAAATCTTAAATATAAGGAGAAATATTCAGTAAAACTGGTTTTCAAATTGAGGATTATTTACAGAATAACAAATATCCTCTAGGCAGGTTTTCTCAGCCTCATGAAGAATTTATATCTCATTCTTCCCTGATTCTGTATTATTTCTAGAATGGTTTATACAGTGCATTAATCTTTTACACTGTAGCATATTAGTTCTTTTTTCTCTCTGTGTGCCTTACTTCTCCATGTGTGCACTCCAGGCCTGTATCAGGATCACCTATGAACCAATTGGAAACACAAACACTTACATTTAACAGAGTCACCAAGTGATTTGTGTCATAGTGACATTTAAGAAGTACTGGTTGAGATCATGGACTTTGGGGGTGGAGATGTAGCTCAGTGGTAGCATGCTTGCTTAGCATGTATGAGGCCCTGGGTCCAGTTCAATCTATAGTACTACCAAAAGAAAAAAAAAAATCCAAACAGTTTGGATCCATTCTGCCCAGTTGGGAGTCTTGGCTTTTCTAAACTAAAGTTACTTTATGTCTATATGCTTACCTGTAAAATGAAGAATATAATAGCAGCTACCTTGTAAGGTTATTATGAAGATTAAATCATATAGTATATTTAATACAATTAAAACAGTGTCTGGCTCAAAGTAAGCACTTGGTATGTTAGCTAATAAAATTGTCCTCATTATTAATCAGATATCAAATGAACTGTATACTGCTTTTGTTTTTCCTACTGCCTTCAGTAAACAGAAATAAGTAATAGTGAAGAAATTTAAAGCATAAAATCAAATAAAAAGAATAGTCAAACTGTCCATCTCCAGGATTTAAGGATAGACTTCATTGTGAGATACTAGTAATCATCTAAAATAATGTTGAGGCTGACCACTTGGCAAAGGTTCATTTTTGATTTTGTTTTTGTTTTACTGTGCTGGGGCTGGAACCCAGGGCTTGGCACATGCTAGACAAGCGCTCTATGGCTATGCTACATTCCCAGCCCTTTGGCAAAGGGCTCATTGGTTTTTCAAAATGTTACTTGAGGGACCTCCTTTTTGGGAACATTGTAACTTCAGATCACTTAACTAGATAGAATATGCAATAATTATTGTTTACATTTGATTCTCACCTTGAAATCCATCCCACAATGCTCCAAATCCTCTCCTAAAATGTGAGAACATAATGATTGGCTTTTGAGACCTGGTAGGACTTTTAAGATGAGAAAACTGTCTCACTATAAAATCACTTAGGTATAAAATTATAGTGGAGAGTTTTTGTTTGCTTGCTTGCAGATTTGAATGAGTATATGTTCCATTCCAAATTCTTTTGTTGGAAAAGATATGTAATTTGTATGCAAGTTTCTTTACCACATATTTGCACAGAAATATTACAGTAATCTCCATCTTCACTTTGTCATAAAGTAATTCATTAGGGTTTGCATGGTCTTTCCATGTGTTTTTGTATCATTTAGAAAAAAAAAATCTCTTGGATCAAAGCAGGTGTGTCTGATAGCTAATAAAATAAATGAAAGCATACCCAATGGAGAGATGTCTAGGTTTATATTTATAAAAGAATTGTGTCCCTTTTTGTTGTAGTGACTGGTTGCGTACAGATTGTACAGCCTGTCAGAAACTTTTTCTCCCCTCCTCTCACCTTATTTTTTTCTGAGAATCTTAAGATGAAACATATAGCTCTTTTCATCTAATTGTTCTTCAGCTATTAAGATGTTGTAGTTTTTCCTTACATCTAGTTTTGAATTAAATGTTTAAATAAGAAACTAAACATTTAATTATTTAAATTTTGGATTACTGATTATAGAAAAGCTGAAAATTTTACATTTACTTTTGCAGCTTCATTTCATCTGCTTTGTACATGAGTGTCTGGTTTCTGTTTATCAGCTGTGAAAACTACTAAATGTACTGCTTTTGTTACAGACATCTGTGCTTTGGAATTTTTTAAGGTTTGCTTTTTTTTTTTTTTTT